CCCCCGCTAAGCGAAGCTTGTTGCGTTGACCCTGCCCTTTACCTTCCGATCGCGCCATTTCGGTTCTATGGCAGAATTTAGACTCCAAAGTTAAACACGGCCGGTCCCCTCAGTGACTTCGCCTGGCTACGGCCTGCCACCAACCGCAACCCCCGCAACCATAAGGAGGCCCATAAACTCCAAGCGCCCGTCGCGCTTCGTACCCGGACTGTTGTAACCGGGAACGCGTGCTCTCACCACGCGGAGTCCAACGCCGTACCGACTGAGCTACGGGACCAGCTGATATAAAACTAACATGATGTTCGTGATCATCACCCCGAAAAACTCATAGCAGCCACACTTTACAACGTTCTAACAAGTCCCGATTTTCCCGACTTTTGGGTCATTGACCTGACCTGGAAGGTCAACCAATGAACTAGAACCTTAAAATTGGGTATCATCGGCTTCCTCTCGTCACGGGCAACACGCTCGTTTTTTTCGTGAAGGTCTATCTCGATCAGGGGCCAAACGGCAAGGGGGGGTCCAACGGACCCCCTCCCCTTTACTTTCGCGGCTGGCAAAACACCAATACGGGCGAGGGTTTAATATGCTCCGGTTCTTTACAAATAACTTACATAACAGACCATCCTTACGAAATATGCCGGCTCAAATGACGGCGCCACACCTCGTTAGTCCTGTGGGAGAATATTGGCTAATAGTGTTGGCGCTCGCGGGCTGTTTATCCCAATCATTGGCCTATGGTGATGGCCGCGGCTCTGCTGCGGCCGGGCCGGCCGGCTGGTGACCGGACGCGCTCTGGCCAGCTGCGGCAGCTGCGGTCAGGACTTATGTAATTAGTCACGAGGCACCACCGCCTGATTCACGGGCATGGGCCGGTGCGTGCAGCTGTAGGGATGTGGTCCCATAACGCCCCCACCTCCCCGGTCGGTGTGGATTGTGCACGTGTCCGGCTACCGGAGACGACCGTCTGCAACGATGACTAATGGTTGTCGATAGGTGGTGTCGCATACAGAGTGCCCTACACACACTGGGGAGTGGCTGTTTTCCACAAAAGTCCCGCCATGTTCATTTGGCTATGAATGAGGTATGTTAACAAGGGACGACACGGGAATTGTGAGCGACATCGAACGGTGTTCGTTCTACTTACTGCTGAGACATTCAGGGATAAACAGACAATGTCAACACTCGGTGTATGGGTATGAAGGCATTTGCTATTCACGATGATTTCCCAGCTCTAGTTATAGTCTCGCGGCAAATATTTGCACACTGAGTCTGGCCTTCGCGGCTGCTGTCTGCAAAGTTGAACTACGTCGTGGGTTGGGTTGTCACAAAGACGAGTCACTCAGCCAGGTGTGGAGTGATACTGGTTTCTCATAGGAACAGTACCTTCCGTCACTCGTTGACTAACATGGAATGCTCTAAATTACAGGGGTCGGCAAACGGTGGGGCATGCCCCCTTTGGGGGTAATGGCGCCCTTCGGCGGGGGGTAATGAGGGCCTTTGAGAAAGCCTCATCTTTTTAGAATTAATGGCTCCCTTGATGGGACAGACATCGCAACTGTTGTGCCCCAGGATTCAAAAATTAGTCGAGGGCAAACGCACAAATCATGAACTGATCAGCTGGCGCATGCCAATTTTCATGGGACGCCATTTAATTGCGTCCCAGAAAAGCTATTTCTGGCACCTAAAAGCTGACTCACCCCAAAATTGGTCCTCAGCACCTATTTGGTGGATACCAGCACCAATCATGGAAAATGAACTTAATTAGCTGTTTCTTGCACCTATTCATCGGTACGCCTTACTCTTTTTTCTGAATCTGGCACCTAAATGCTGAGCGTAGCACCAATCTAGTAGAAAAATGAACTACTGGCTGGTAGAATCATGTTGTTCTGGTATAATGACCCCTGGAGTCTAGCCTAAAGGTTGCCAGTGCAGCTACACTCTAAGACAGCCCCGTAGTGATCTCAGCATTGTATATGACGTTTAAGTAAGCAAATAGTATTGGTTTGTTTGAAAAAAACAATGTCATTTAAATATTTAAAAGTATTTATTTGTAATGCTTAAAGGGAAACATTTTTGTGAGTAATTGTCTCGATTTTGACCATTAAAACGGGTATCGCATTTTTTGACGTCATCAAATAGCTCCAAAAAAGAAATGTAATGTTTTCATTCCGTTCAAGGCCGCTGAAGAAACGCGGGATCTTGCGTGGGACATTGTCCGTTGTTTGCCGCGCAGAGTTGTGCAGTGGTTGTGCCTTTTTCATCCGTTTCTTACGTATGGCATATGTGTGCATGAAGCTTGATTTTGTTTTTGGTTATTGTGTGGCCGGTCAGTCAAACGCCCCTGTAGAAACCGGATGCTGCCTTTGATCGAGATGGAGTCAGACGATGATTGCAGAAAGCTAATAATATTGAAAAGAGGGCCGGTTGCGTGGCATGTCTGTTCAGAGTTGACAATTTGCTTTACTCCAGTTTATGACCTGAGAGCCTGGCTGGAAGTGACGGATCCAAACTTTTCACGTTAAAATGGCTGAGGGTGCAATAATCTCTAGTCTCTACATAGCGGGCTGGTATAGGAGCGTCTTGCTATGCTGCACCATAGCTGGCTAGTGATTCTCTTTTGGCTAGAAATGGCATTAATCATTCTCTCCACTGGCGAAAATGGCACTTGACATCACCGAATGCAACGTTCATGTTGTTAGGATACATAAAATCTGGAAGATTACGCGAATTAGGTAGGCAAACTTGGAATAAAATAGGTGCTGGATGTTTTGGTTTTGGTGCTGAATCAGCAAACAGCAAATACGGAGTTCAACTAGACGATCTGGCAACTTTAGGCTGTGTGGAAGCAATTAGGTGCCAGATTCAGATATTAGGGTCGAATAAGCATTTTGGGGCTGATCAGCAATTAGGTGCCAGAAACAGCTTTTTAGGGACCAGAAACAAATATTCCCCATTTTCATGTACATAGCTGCTCACCATTCCGTACAGTCGTGGAAAGTAACTGTCATGTATTAGCCGGCGCTCGCCTGTTGGCGTTTTCACAGTCGCTAAAGCAAGGGAGGAGAGTTGTCCATTGCACTATGACCCGTGCATCTCGGCCTCTGAGCTGGAGCTTTGCAGAAAAATTGAGCGTGCTGCCCGTGAAGATAGGCAGCCGCTGCTACCCAATTTAAAGGTCCTTGGTCATTTGGTGACCTTCCATAGGTCAATGACAAGTCCCGAGTAAATCGGCTCTTGCTGTAACTTCTTGAAGTGAGATTTTGTGGACTGCCATGATCTCAAGAAAGATCTCACAAATCAACGGTTATTCGGGTTAAGGTCATGCCATTTTCAGGACAGATAAAAATGATCGGCTCGAGGGTACAGTTTTTATGATCCGACCCTTTTAAACGTGATCTATTCCCGAAAAATACACGCTACCCCTATTCGTATGGGGGTTAACCCGCGCCCTGATGGGGCTCCTGGGTATCCACGCCCTGCTGGAGGTGAAAGTTGAACCCCCTCCCCCCCTTCTAACTTGTCTCCTTGGTCACTAGCGAAACGCCGTAGTCGGCGTTCGAAAGAGAGTAAGACATGATGAAGGAAAACTATGGCCACTTTTTAGGTCAATTCAAAGGTCAGCTCACCAGAGGTCATCGAACGTAAAATTTCGCCAATTTCCAGGTCAACCTTTGACAATTTTCGACAAACTGGCCTATAGCTCAGGAAAGGATAGAGCTACAGAGCTGCGGAAAAACGCATTCGATAGCTCTCTTAACGTCTTTTTTTCTGATGACGCCCTCAGATTTAACCTAAGAATAACGATTTAACCTGCGGAGACAAAAATGGCTAAAATGTACGTTGTTTGCTGATAAAATGTACGTTGTTTGCTGATAGTTTTTCTTCAGTAGCGTTTCACTCAGAACTTGCAAGAGCTCACTTTTATCAGCATCGTGCTCCCCCCGTCGAGAAGCATCGAAGGTCTTGTTGCACATCAGGTGATCCGTGTCGTCGAGCTAAACACATCTAAGGTATTTTCATCGCTCTGGCATGCCTTTATCAAAAGTTATTAGCGAAAAACTATTAGATACCGTTCACGACCGGAAATGACCTCAGGGACATACAGCGGGGTTACGGGTGCAGTTTTCCGGCTCAGTGGTCATGTTTACTTGTGATTCAGTGCTTCACAGTGCTAGGAATGACACTCATCCAAAAGAGGCGTCTTTCAATTTCTACCATTGACTTTGCGACCTCTCCCATTGATAACGAGGGAGGGCGTGAAAGTGAGCTGACCTTTGGTCACCTACATCAAATGTCCGAGATACAAATTTTGTACATGTTTTGTTGCCTTTGTCAATTCCTGAAAGTTTGAAAGAGATCTATTACTCTGTGTAGCTACAACAGGCGTTACAGTCTTTACTGAGGTGAGGTCACTTGGCGTGATCTGGTGACCTGACTTTGAGCGACTTTGGTCTGAAATTTTCACAACATGTGCAGACAAAATGCATGACAAAATGTGACAAAATGGTGGCGCTCAACTTTTTTGAGATTTTTGCGAGAAACCGCGGGGGGGGGGGGGTGAGCCTGTGGTTTCTCGCAGATATGGTACCCAAAGAGTCGCGGAAAAGTATGGAATTTTAGTAACCATGGTTATATCACCAATGGGGGTCTGGCAGGTGGGGGTAATGGCGCTGCCTGGCGCCAAAAAAGGGGGCACGACCCCGGAGGACCTGCCGACCACTGCTGTAAAACCATGACGGAGCTTTGCGACACGTGTTATCATTTACCAAGGGAAACTGTCTTTTCCGAGTAAGATATGTTTCGGTTCACATCCACCCATGTTCGTATTATTATATTATCCTTGCATGTGTTGTTGCCAGCTTTATCTTATACCTATGGTATGCTACCTTCGTTCGCTGTGCTGCATTGGAGCATGTTCCTACCTCTGAGCATGTCTTTGGCATCGCATTCGGAGAGTTTTCCTTGACTGACCGCTGTGCGGTGTCTGTGTTTGACAGGAGATTGAGCCCGTGCCGGCGCCGACGACCGGCGGGGACACCACGGCAGACACCACGGCAGACTCGACCCAGCTGCCCGTGATGGAGGTGGACGAGAGTGACGACGAGGTCACCTTCAAGACGCCGCCCAACGTCATCAAACGGCGCCTGTCGCGGCCGGCGGCCAGCACCCCGCAGTCAGCCACCCCAGCGCGGAGCAAGCCCTCCACGCCAGTCGCCACCAAGCAGACTCCAAAGGCGACAACCACCCCCAAATCGGCCGCCAAGAAGGTGGCTAAGAGCCCCAAAAGTGCCGCCGGAACGCCGAAGACGCCGAAGTCGATGGCGAAGAAAACTCCTCCGAAGTCGGTCAAGCAGCTGTCGGCGAAAAATAAAACTCCGAGCAAGAAGACACCGCCTAAGAGTGGACGGAAGCGCTAGGGAAGGGGTGGGACCGGGCGTGCATAGCGGGGGAGGTAATAAGGCGATGTCTTTTTGCTCGGCTGGAAGGGGAAACTGCCTTATATCGGTCGAGTTCTAAAACGTGCTGACAGGCTGTTACACGTTTTGCTGACAAGCAATGTGTTGGGTAAAACGGCATGCAACTCATCAATCGCTGAGTCGTTGTGAACGCTATAGACAGGCTGGTGCCTGTGCCGCCTGCCTGGTGCCTCACGACTGAGAAACATTGACCAACTGTTCGCCGAGTCCCTTGGCCCAACTCGATGATGCGATCCTCGCTGGCTCCAGTAAATAAACACGGACGAAGAGAGCGAGACATTCTGAGTGTGTGTTTGGAACGGAGGGGGTCATGTGCACCGTAACCCTGAGCCGAGACTGGCACCGACAGGGGCTACGGAGAGGGCCAGGGTGGAGTGGACGGCGGAGACCGCTCCCTGCGGGGGCGGAGGGGGATGCTGATGTCACTGGGCTGGTGGAGGTGCCGATCTGCGCAGTTTCACAGGAAGAATATGCAGTGGACTGAGTTTGGTCACCGTCCTTAGCATTTACACACGGCCTCTGATTTCAGATATGATATACCTACCTAGGCTGGATGATTTCTCAGAACAACCTCCAGATTTCATTCAGACTGCAGAGTGCTGACTCGTCAGACATTTGCTAGAATGTGTTCGACTGTTCCATGATGGTGCAAAACATATGAGCTCGATAATATTTATCATTTGTCCCGGAGAAATCCCGATGAGTAAGAGGCTAGAACAGACTCCTTTTATGAAGAAACACATGCAAGCTGCACAGCTGAGCGTACGCAGCAGCACGATCAGTCCACAGTCATATGAACAGACCGCATTGTCCTCTCGAACATTCCCGCCAACTCTATACGCCGTGTTTTAACGAGACTCATTCATCACCCGAGTCAGCTCTGCGCGGAGAGCGGGCGGTCCAGCAATTAATATTTATTTGGGTGGGCGGGTTTTCCGGAACTCCGCACAGCCCGGATGCGTCGCCGCCCAGCCCGGCCGTATCGTGCCGTATCGCGCTGGTCGTAAAGGCGTCGGTTGCGACACAGGCCGTGCCGATGGTAATGAGATGGGCAGGCAAACCGATAACACGCACGCCGGCGGCCGCCGCGCCGCGCTGGTGCGTATCGATGGCGAAGTCCGTAGCCGCTGGGCTGTATATCATATATTATGTTGTTTTGTATTACCTATGTTGTTTATAAGAGAGAGAGAGAGAGAGAGAGAGAGAGAGAGAGAGAGAGAGAGAGAGAGAGAGAGAGAGAGAGAGAGAGAGAGAGAGAGAGAGAGAGAGAGAGAGAGAGAGAGAGAGAGAGAGAGAGAGAGAGAGAGAGAGAGAGAGAGAGAGAGAGATAGAGAGAGAGAGAGAGAGAGAGAGAGAGAGAGAGAGAGAGAGAGAGAGAGAGAGAGAGAGAGAGAGAGAGAGAGAGAGAGAGAGAGAGAGAGAGAGAGAGAGAGAGGAGAGAGAGAGAGAGAGAGAGAGAGAGAGAGAGAGAGAGAGAGAGAGAGGAGAGAGAGAGAGAGAGAGAGAGAGAGAGAGAGAGAGAGAGAGAGAGAGAGAGAGAGAGAGAGAGAGAGAGAGAGAGAGAGAGAGAGAGAGAGAGAGAGAGAGAGAGAGAGAGAGGAGAGAGAGAGAGAGAGAGAGAGAGAGAGAGAGAGAGAGAGGAGAGAGAGAGAGAGAGAGAGAGAGAGAGAGAGAGAGAGAGAGAGGAGAGAGAGAGAGAGAGAGAGAGAGAGAGAGAGAGAGAGAGAGAGAGAGAGAGAGAGAGAGAGAGAGAGAGAGGAGAGAGAGAGGAGAGAGAGAGAGAGAGAGAGAGAGAGAGAGAGAGAGGAGAGAGAGAGAGAGAGAGAGAGAGAGAGGAGAGAGAGAGAGAGAGAGAGAGGAGAGAGAGAGAGAGAGAGAGAGAGGAGAGAGAGAGAGAGAGAGAGAGAGAGAGAGAGAGAGAGAGAGAGAGAGACCGCCTCCTTCCTTTGAATGGGCGCGGCTCGACGGCTACTCGACCAGAACCCAGCGGAACCGGACTGAAGGTGAAGTGCGACTGCAGCCTCGATTCACCCGAAATCCGGCAGCGGGTGGGCCCTCAACTTCCTCTCGGAGAGGCCGGAGGCGTCGTGCGTGTCGTGCAATGTGGTGTGACGACACTGAATCACCCAGTGACGTCAACCACAACACGGCCGCTGATTGGTGTATAGTAGATAGCCGGCACTCTGCCGCGAAACGCCAACATTCAACAATTGGTTCTGCGTAAGCGTTGCTCTAATCGGCGGATGTAAGTCAGTGCAAATTGCGAAATTCGGATGGGCGAGTGAATGAATAAATGGTGCTTATTCATCGTTGTTTGGTAGTTAACGTTCGCTAGAATTTACCGTACACTAGCCGGACATTGCGTCTGGTTTAGGACGCACTTTGATGTTGAAACGCTGCAGATGGGTTGGTCGGCGCGCAGTTTGAAGTTGACCCATCCGCCGGGGCCCGGATGGGTCTGCTGGATCGCGTCCGGGAGGGACGCGAGTTACCGAAGTGTGGAACTACAAGTCGATTCTAGGGCTCTGATTGGTGACTTTGGTCGGGGGATGACGCTTATAGCATGACGTCACTCGCGTACTTGGCCGGACCAACGGCGCGGCGCAGGCGCGCCGAGCCAACCCAGAGGCTCTCAAACTCAATTGTACAGATCCTGCGCATTGAATGGCGAAACTTCGGCGAGTTCGCTTGAGTTTGGAAGCCCCTGCCAGAGAACTGGAGATGGCCGGATTATTTGCTGGACAGTGGGCAGCGCAGATGGCGATTGACGGTGCCAAAAAGATGATAGGGAAAAAGGGGTTGAGACTTGAGCAGTGAATTATAAGCCTGTTGCATAGCTGACTGCTGAGTGGTAAATTGTAAAATACTTAAGGTTTGAAGAGATGCAGTGTAGTTTAGCCGACTCAGGGGCATTCTGCCGAGTTATGTAAGGTGGAAGGGTCGCAACTCGCAAGTCGTTTGTTTACATGATTGCCTGATTAAAATGTAAAGCGTACCTAATGTTAAGTTGATAATACAGCGAGGTTGGGCATCTGCTACATACATTTCTTCTCTGCAATAGTGCATTCGCCACTGTAATTCATTGTAAGAGGCACTGGGCTGCGCCGCCTGTTAATTATTTCGAAACCACCAGTGAATTGTCACAGTCACTCACAACAATACGAATCGTTCAGTCGTGCGCTGGGGGTCCGCCAAGTTTGAGTGTGCGGCAGAATGCAGACTGGACCGCCGAGAATATAACACTTCCGTCTCCCTGGGCGAGCGGCGCATTGGAGCCGAAGGAAACTGCTTCAGTTTTTTTTGTGGGGAAGATATCCATGCTTGAAAATTATGTTCTGGAATGATGCGATAAGGAAAAGGACGGTTTCTTGAATTGAGGGCTGTGGAGAAGAAGCAGATTTTCTCATTTGCTACCCGATACAACGCGAAAAGACGCAAATGTTGCACATTGGGCTTAATAAGTCTAATAAAAGATAAGGGACTTCGTGAATCATGCCTAACTGACCGCGACCCAGTTATTTGCCACTGCAAGTACCTAGGTACTAGGTAGGTAGATACTCATTTGTAAACAGAGCGTTCCACCAGCCCTCGCCAGAAATTCAATCAGCAGTTGCTTATCTTAAAACGTTTGAGTGCACCTTACAACCTTTAAAAATGACGTCCTCCCTTTCAATGGTTCGTTCGAAGACACAAAGCCAGAATCAGCCAAGCAATATCGGAATCCATTGCGCAGTGTGTCGACTGTCGGATGTGCCCATCCACATAGCATAGCACACACTGCTAAATGCAGGTACGCTCACCTACACATTAGGTATTCGAAGGACTTGATAGCTCATACACATGGAAGAAACGCATGAAATGTGATTAATAGCTGCAGCAGAAGTTTGGCGTCCGATGCCTCTTCGCCAAGTTAAGACCATGCCAATCTCGGCCAGTCTGCCGCCGCGCCGGCACTGGCCGTGGTGTGACGTCATCCGGCCGGCTCGGCGCTGGGTAGTTCCACACTTAGGTAACTCGCGTCCGGGACCGGGTGATACATATCGCAGGCTTGACGAGGGGCGTGGGACCGTGACGGGCCTTATATAATTTACGCCCAATCCAATGTGTGAATTGCGTAAGGATTTTGTGTGCCTGTACTATTTTGTACTCCCACAGATAGGTAGGGGAGAGTGCTGAGTGTCAGCTCTTACGGCACTGATATTGACTTGAGCTGCCATGTCGTTCGCTTACGATGCTGCAGTCTTTTACGTGAGACGGCGATGTTCGCGGAATGCAAGTAATAGAGCTGCATAAAAAAACAGTTTTTAACCGATAAAAGTAACTTTTTGATATTGCGATTGATGGCTGCTTACTCTGCTCAGCGCCCGATAACATGTGTTATCTCTCCTGATAACTGAGAGTTAAGACATGTTCTGCCTTTAAAATGAGATGGTTGTTATATGCGGTGCTGCATGGTCATTTGTCTTGGCGGGTGCCAATAATCGAAAATAGCCTTAGGTGGGGCAAGATGAGCCATTTTTACCTGGGTTAAGATTAGCCGGATAAGCCATTGTTGATCTCGCTGTACGAAAACCAAACTGAGCTGCGCTTATTTCCTCTTAAAGGGACCCTCCCACCTTAACATTAGATTTGAGTTGAGATAGCCAAAATGGGGTCCCTGGCTCACAATGTACCGGTTTCGGCACTCACAACATCGAGAAATGCCTTAAATCGGAAATATTGAATTTCAAAATTGCAGCATTTTGATTCAGAGGGGCTAATGCTTAGGAATACCCCTCTGAATGTGTGACGTCAGCGCAAATATCTAACGATTTTTAAATGTTTGACTAAAACGTTTTGTAGCACGCGGTGGTATATGCTATTTGCGCGCAACATCTGCCGCAAACGCCGCACTTCTAAAATAAAGTCGCTAGAAACAGCGGAGATCCCAAAAAAGTAAACAAAAGTAAAAGTCTAATATCTTGAAAACCGGTGAATATTTTTCGGTGAAATTTGGTAGATAATCGTTTTTGCTCTTTCTGAACCGAGCGACATCACTTTCATGCCAATTCATAAACTTTTTTGAAGGTGGGAGGGTCCCTTTAATAAAAATTGTAGGAAATTGTTTCTCTTTGTTGATTACGCAGATCGTAAATGATTGCGGATTACCTGAAGGATAAAATGATTTGCTCCGTGAAAAACTTGATGAGTTATTGGAAGGCGGAACTTGGAAAAGTTCAATCACTTCTTGATGGAGGAAAGAAGCATTGCCATAAGCAAGAATGTAGGTATGTCATAGTCAATAAAAGAGCTCACTTGTTGCCGCGCCCGCGGGAAAAGAAGAGGTTCGCTTTTTCGATCCATGCTCGACTTTTCCAAGTTAGCCTGTAGCTTACGAAAAACAAAAAGCGGCTCAACTTACCTCATCTTCCCCTACAGCTATTACCTATAGGTGCGCAGTAGCTTATAATTTCCATGCCATATTTCCCATTCAATTGACTGCTACTTTTCATCGCTGTCAAATGTCCTACAATTTGTTTTGCGCATCCTCTTTTAATTTACCTATTGGACATTTGGTCTGGTTTAGGACGCACTTACCCAAATATTATGCATTTATTTAATCTGGAGGTCGGGAAAGGAAGCTTTTCATTGTGTGTAGGTACTTTGTTAATCTTCATATTATGCATTCTTACGACCTACGAGGTTACGACCTACGCATGCACATTTACATTCTAGGTTACTTTTGCTCAGTTGGTACTTGCATGACATTAAGTCTGCCTCCAGTTCCCTAAAAACGTAAAAATGTTTAAAACTAAGCTTTATTTTTAGTGCTAAAGGAAGCATGCTTGTATTGAAATGATAATGAAGGCCACCGCCAATATTATTCTTATTGATCTCTTGTTATCCCATAAAATTTGTTCAGAACATTCCTCGCGTAAAAATCCAAAGCTTTCTATCCCGAATTAACCAAAGTTGTCTGATTCCACAGATCGATACCTACATCATCAGGAGACAGGGCCGATCGATTAGCATTTAGCCGATCGATATCCGATGGCGTTGAAGTGAAATAAATGACACTTATACGCCCTCAAGATCGTTCTGCTTGCCACTAAATTCATGTAGCTCTATTGTGATGTATAGGATGCCACCTAAGATGAATTACTCTACACCAATACGTCGTCTGAAATAACTCATAATGGCCGTTTTCACGACGGAGCATTCGCGGTGCGATTTAAGCGATTTGACGGCCAAAATCGCCTGGATTACAACTTTTAAAAATATTTTGCAGGCAAAAGACTTTAGTTGTAAGGATTCTAAGGCGTTAAAGGGTTGGTACTTTCCAGGTATCAAATAGATTTCATGACCGCGAAAGTTCCGTCGTGAAAACGGCCAATAAGTACCAATAAAAATATTAGAATGACTCATAGGCGCGGGAACCGGGAGTGGGGGCAGCTTACCCCCCTAACTCTGGGGCCGTGGGGGCGGTGCCCCCACAACTTTAACCCTCGCCGGCACAGGGGGGGGGGTTGATGCAACCTCCCCTAAGGTTTTTCGCAAATAACTCGCGTAAAAAGTGGCCGATCGCGACGAAACTTTCAGTTCTCTCGCATTGATCAATTTTACACCTACCCTGAAAATTTCATGACCCTGACCCAAATGACCTTTGACCTGTGATCTCTTTTCCGAGACCATGTTGATGTTTGACCGGAATCGCGATTCGGCGTATGTCGGCTCGCATTTGCCGCGCGTTTGCAAGCTTTTCGTGGTTTCAAACGTTCAAGCATGTGATTTGATTTTGCTCCCATACATTAGGATGGGTGTCAAGGTCACCTGAAGGTCAGGTCAGGTCATTGGCCTTTGGTGACCTCGGGTGACCTCGGCTCACTTTTTCGGGTTTTACATGTTTCTAGGCTAGTTTTTGGAGCTGAATTCGAATTTAGCAACCATTTGAACATTTACAAAGCAGTTTTGGTGCCTTCGTAACATGTTACGAAGCTGTCAGAGGCGGTTGACACGTATTACGAATACCCGTCACAGCCCCTACCGGTTGACCTGACCTGACGACCTGACCCGACCTGGTCTAAATGCTTAAAGACATCATCTCTGATCAAAACGAACACGATATTCGTGATCAGCACCCCGGAAAACCACATAGCAGCCACACTTTACGACTTTCTAACAGGTCCCGATTTTCCCGGTTTTCGGGTCATTGACCTGACCTGAAAGGTCACCCGATGACCTAGGACCTTAAAATTGGGTGTCATCGGCTTCCTCTCGTGACGGGCAACACGCTCGTCTTTTCCGCGAAGCTCTAGCTTGATCAGGGGCCAAACGCGAGGAGGGGGGGGGTCGTACCCCCCCCCCCCATTGTGCCGTCGAAGGACGCAAAGTGGCCTGTGCCGGCGAGGGTTAAGACGGAATATCGCACTTGTTTTGCAATTGTTTTCTTTTTTGTTGAAAAAAGCCAAGGGATGAAAAATAAGTGGTCTAAAGCCGGTGAGAATACTAGATTTCGGGGTACCCCAGGCTGATCTCTATTATAGTGTGCCCCCCCCCCCCCCCAGTCTGAAAGGTTCCCGCGCCCCTGGGATGACTAAATGCTAATAATGGAGACCAAAGGCAAACACCCTTGCCAAACACCTACCTACGTTTTAATAACGCAACTTCAAGTTACCTTTTTAGAGTCAGAAAGGTGGGGTGTGATATGACCCATAGGTAGGTACACACTTACTTACGTAGTAAATACTGAATCCTTTATAACGAAGAGGAATGTGGTTTAGGAAATGGTTGATGCTGGCGGAAAACGGTTCGAGCGGTGTTTGTCAGGGGAGACATCGAGTTGTGGTGGTGAACAGCGCCTGCTGGTAGGGAGACGTCCGCACCTGGGCACGCTGGGGTGTGGCCCGAGTCACGTGCAGAGGAAAGGCTACTTGTCTTGGCGACTGTATGCTGAGATGAGAAGAAAACTGTGGCGCTTCCGGCCGCGGGATCTGTGACTGTGTTTACTGCCAAGTGTTTACGCTAAGCTAAGTGTTTACCATCTGCAATAAGACGCAGAGGATGTCCGCTTAAACCGAAGGGCATCGTTTTAGGACAGCCGGATGACATTTCGATAGTAGACCAGGAATAACCAGCGCTCATAAAAGGGTTTCGGAGGTCAATCAAGTCCTGATCAGAAACGATTCTTTTTCATTTATTCGACAGTGAACACTGCAAACGTTTTGTAGGCCTCAAAGTAGGTACTATCAGGACTAGGAGTCCACGGCTCTTCAAGACAATTAGCCGAATATCTTGACGTAATTATAGGCCTATTATTCGTGAAGTTCGAAGTTTGATTTATTTATCTATTTATTTATTTATTTATTTCACGTCGCGACAAACCCATCCATTCGAGAACGGCTATTCCGGGCGTCATGTCATTTGGAAGATGTGATGGATAAAACATTCGCTCTTAGCACACGCATACAGCACACGCACTCACGGGTCCTCATCGCCATACTGCTCTCGGAGTAGCAGCAGCCTTCAACCAGTTTACCTTCAACCAGTTCCAAAGTTCAATTTTTGCTGTAAAAATAATCTTTACAGAAAGACAAGCAGCATACTCTCATAAAACACGTTCTATGTAAACGGCTGCAGAGCGCTCTCTTTTTCGTCTTTTTCAGCGTATTTCCAGCGCCTATAACCGCAACATTCGTCAGCCCTGGTGTGACGCTGACCCCGCAGGTCCCGTGACCTGCTGTGCCCGCTGGGAGGGGGGGGGGCAAGGGGTGTTTGCTCTGAGTCAGCCCGGCGGCAGTCGAGTGTTCTGGATGGGGGTGGGGGCGGGGGCGGCATCGAGCCGAGTCGTGGTGCGCCGCGCCGCCGCGCCGGTCGGCAGTCAGACGCGAGCGGCGAGCAGGTTCGCACGTGAGCGACAGAGTTCTGCTGCAGAGAGCACTAAATACAAAGTTCGAGAGAGACGAGGCAGGCCGAGAGATGAAGATCGTGCTGTTGGTTGGCCTGGTGGTGTGCGGCGCCATCGCTGGTAAGGGTGATATCTGAGAGGGGAGGGGCGCTGGTTCGTCGGAGGTGACACCGGTCATGCGCCAGCAGGGATAGGAAGCCATATGTCGGGTGGGAAGTGCATTCACCAACGTATGAGGCCTTACCTTACATGCCTATGCGTTGTCTTGAACTGCGATTGCATTCATATGCTTAGTTGTGAGCTTTTTAGATCAAAGTTACATTGATAAGTCCATGAGCTTAGGTATTTTGGAACGCAACAACACCTACGTGCTGTCTGAATGACTGGCCGACGACGTGCAAGCTGCGAAGGATTTTTCTAGCGTGAGTGCCAGCGGCAGCGCCCAAGCTTGCTGTGCAGTGTACCTATACTTCGATCACTAAGGTCACGAACAGAGCTCGATTCGCTTTTATATGGAGGAAGTGGTGGTAGAACACCTCCTGTGGTTTCTGGCACACCAACACCTCTTGGTGCATATTTTCTGTACACGTGAAAATGTCAGACCCAGGGCGTTCAAGGCCAGGTCACCAAACTTAAAAACGTTTCATGTTCGTCAGTCGTCACAGCCATCCTAATGAACTGGTCACCTTTAAACCATAACAGATTGCTACAGTGACAGGCTGTAGGTACTAAACGTTTGTCTAGATTTTTTCCATATCGCTGATTGAAGATCAGTCTATACTTTTACTTACGACCTCTCCTTTATACCTAAGTCAATTAGAAAAAAACTGAATTGCGCTTCTTTCGGACGAAAGTCACACTTAACACTCTTCAACACCAGTTACGAGGTAAACATGACACGACGAATCGGAAAATGGCACCCATGACCCTTTCGTATGCCCGAGGTCATCTCAGGTCACGAAAGGTCACCAACAGTTTTTTGACAGCAATTTTTGACAGAGACGTGCTATTCGTAGAGCGATGAAAATATCTAGGATGTATTCACCTCCACGATACGGATTGACTAATACGCAATTCAAATGTGTCCGGTCAGGTCATGACCTTAACTTGGGGTCAAATTTTTCAAGACAACCACTTAAAGGTAGTGTGCCACCTTTGAAAGATTTCCCATTTTATTTTTCCTAGGATAAGAAGCTTCTGTTTTTACCTAATATCGCAAAAAAAAATCAAAAATGGGCCTGGAATAGTGCCTTTTTCGCCTAAAAGTTTTTCGGTTTTTAGATATGTATAACAACTGTAGTGGACTCACCTGCAAACAGGCGTCGGGCAACAATCGCGAATGCGGCGCACTTGTGACAATAAGCAAAGGTCATTATAGTGTTACGACCATACGACGTACGGGAATGAGTTATCAGCTGTCTAATCGTAGACAACACAATGTCGAGCCTTAAACTGTAAGCCCGTATTGGTATTGTTTCTTTTATTTGGCTGTCGAACATTATTTATGGTTTGAAATATGATTTTATGTAAAATAATTGATATGAAAAAGCCGTCTTATAAGTTATGACCCCATTTCACCACACGCAAGTGGCAGAAATGACAATGATCAGCTGACGCATTTTTCTTGGCCGAAGTCAGAGCGCGCGGCCCGACGCACCACGCGTATTTGGAAATTCCGACCTCGACGAGCATCAGAAGCCACCTAACAGGCGTGTTCGAAACCGCAGGAGATGATGATGAACGGGTTTATCGAAACTTGATTGGATGAGCATATCGGTAATAGCGATTTCAGTGTGTGCATTTATTGTTCATAGCATGGGTGGAGAACCTGCCCCGGCCACCCCGGCCGTGGCCGGGGTAACTTTCAGCCTACCCCGGCGCGGCCGGGGTAACTTTGTCCACTTTTGTAAATCCTATCTCCATGCGAAAAACTGCCACCTATAAAAGAATCTCTCATTATTCTTATCTACCTTCAAAGGTTTTTAAAATTTACTTTATTTTCATTTTGGAGCTTCTATGCTCTCAATTTTTTTTTCATCGCGCAGCCCGACAAGTTTCATCTAACAACCCTAAATCATATTTAAGGGCCGTTATCGTAAGATGGCACTGCAATATCATCACAAGAGAGGACGAGGGTAATATCAGTGTCCAGTGAGATAGAAGGACGAGCTGTTGGGGGCTGGGGCTCAAGGCTCCTCCAACTTAACCCGCGCCAGGGTGGTGGCCCTATCGTAACACGTTGAGTCGAGCGGTCGGCGTTTCACGCTCCTTCTAACTCGGCTACTGGGCTACGAGGCGAAAAGCGGAACGACGTTTGAAAGAGGGACAAACGTGATCAGAGAAATCTGGTCAAGTTTTAGGCAAGCTCAATCATAAAATCACCATAGATAATAAAAGCCAAATTCCTCTGATTTTAGCGTTCTCCAACGGCTTTTCTCAAAGTTCATAACATAAGTCTGTCCCGTAGCTCAGTTGGTAGAGGCAATGGACTCCCGAGAGCCCGGGTTCGAGTCGCTCCGAAGCTCGATATTTGAGACTCCTGACGGTGATGGTCTGCGGTTGGTGGGAGCAGCCGCAGCCAGCTGAAGTCAGTTGAGTGGGACAGGCCTTGTCCGGCTTTGAAGGGCACGTTAAACTTTGGCATCTAAATTATCCCGTTACCCAGAATTGCGCGATCGGACGGTAGGGTTCGGGGTCTACCTACGCAACAAGCTCTGCTTAGCGTGGGCCCCCGGCTCTGTCAATCGGTCCATTAAAAAATTCGAGCTAAATCACTGCAAATAAAACATTGGATAACTCGTAATGGCAGACATCCATTGTTCCATGCCACAGAATAGGGGTTTGTTGATAACCGTTGACAAATATTTGTGCATCATCGTCTTTCTGACTTTCGGTCGCCGGCCGGGGTAACTTTTTCAAACATTCTCCACCCATGGTTCATAGTGGTGTGAAATGTGGTTGGGGTACGACCGACAACCCGTCGGGGCGAATTTCGCACTGGGGTACTCAAAATTTGAAGAATTTAAGACGTTTCCATGAGTTTTGAAGGTATGGATAAGTTCTAAAAATCCGGTTCTCCTTATCTGGGCCATTAACTCCATACGGTCCAAGAAAGCTGGCACACTACCTTTAAGGCTAGTTAGTTCATTCGACGCTTCTCAACGAGAGAACCACGATGCCCATGAAGTCAATGTCGTGCAGGGTTTGAGCCAAAAGTTATGTCAGAAAAATATTTTCCCTTATATGAAGCGTCCATTTTGCCCTTTCAAGGCTGACCATTTGATCGCAGGTTAATTCTGAAATCACTCCACATTAAAGGTAGTGTGCCACCTTTGAAAGATTTCCCATTTTATTTTTCCTAGGATAAGAAGCTTCTGTTTTTACCTAATATCGCAAAAAAAAAAATCAAAAATGGGCCTGGAATAGTGCCTTTTTCGCCTAAAAGTTTTTCGGTTTTTAGATATGTATAACAACTGTAGTGGGCTCACCTGCAAACAGGCGTCGGGCAACAATCGCGAATGCGGCGCACTTGTGACAATAAGCATAGGTCATTATAGTGTTACGACCATACGACGTACGGGAATGAGTTATCAGCTGTCTAATCGTAGACAACACAATGTCGAGCCTTAAACTGTAAGCCCGTATTGGTATTGTTTCTTTTATTTGGCTGTCGAACATTATTTATGGTTTGAAATATGATTTTATGTAAAATAATTGATATGAAAAAGCCGTCTTATAAGTTATGACCCCATTTCACCACACGCAAGTGGCAGAAATGACAATGATCAGCTGACGCATTTTTCTTGGCCGAAGTCAGAGCGCGCGGCCCGACGCACCACGCGTATTTGGAAATTCCGACCTCGACGAGCATCAGAAGCCACCTAACAGGCGTGTTCGAAACCGCAGGAGATGATGATGAACGGGTTTATCGAAACTTGATTGGATGAGCATATCGGTAATAGCGATTTCAGTGTGTGCATTTATTGTTCATAGTGGTGTGAAATGTGGTTGGGGTACGACCGACAACCCGTCGGGGCGAATTTCGCACTGGGGTACTCAAAATTTGAAGAATTTAAGACGTTTCCATGAGTTTTGAAGGTATGGATAAGTTCTAAAAATCCGGTTCTCCTTATCTGGGCCATTAACTCCATACGGTCCAAGAAAGCTGGCACACTACCTTTAAGGTATAAAACATTAAACGTTGAAAAACATTACTAAAGCATTAAACATTAAAAGATCTATCGAATGCGCTTTTCCAAAGAAATAAGTATACCTTTAATCATTAAAATTAGTCCTGCACAGTGCACATGCCCTAAACCTTTAGTGCTAACGAGCCCTGACTTACCTGCTCTCTCTTAATTTTGAAAGAAGAACTGAACGGATGTTACCTACTAAAAGATCAGTTTTATTGACCATCGTGCCACACAACATTAAAATAAATAGGATGTCTTCTTTTTGAAGCAGCCTCGCGCCACTGCAGCTGAATTTGGCGCTGAGCAGCTGTTATGGTCTGTACTTTGGTATATCAAGTCGTCGCTGTCCTCCTCAGTCTCCGCGCTCAGCTCTACATACAATCTCCTCACTAATGCCGTTACACCGTCACACTCCCAACCTTTTGAATAGAACAGTTCCAGAACGTTCGCCATCCAGTTGATGCCTTGGATGCGATCTATACTTTTCGCATGCGTTACGGCATCGCGGCTAAATTAATGGTTTGCATTGCACCAATGATCGCCTATTGGTATCACTTTGCAGTCTGCGGATGCAGTGTTGAGTGTACGGATGCAGTCAACATGAAGTGTGTGGATGCAGAGTGCACCTTATCCAGTTGGACTGTACGGGTTCCGGTTCTATCTGGCTTTCCTCGTTGACTGGACTCCTGATAGGTTTGCTGAAAACCACTAATGAGCTGGCGTGTGGTGTGGTGACCTGTTTGTAAGTGGGTGCCTTGTTATCGGTGTTTTATGGGGCTCAATTGATCAGATCAGATTCATAACTAAGGACGAAAAACGAATGTCGTCGAAGCATTGAAACTTGTTTGTAGGTTATAATTGTTGATCAGGCCCAGTGCCTTGGACTGAATCGACCTCACGCCCATATCACTAATCATGGCTTAGACAAGTGGCCAATTTAAGCAGGCATGCTTGATGGCTTTTATAGCGTAAAAATTTCACCTTTTTGCCACCGAAACGCGGCAGGACAGAACGGGACCTCGACATCCCCTTTCCTGTCTTATCCTTGATATGTCCCTTACCCTGTTCCGCCCAGCACCGAGCGCGCATTACCCACTATTTGCTCATATTCAAGATCGTCCTTTATCCTGCTGTACTCTACTGACCGTCCTATATCCTGCGAACTGTCCTGCTGACTGCCCTGTATCCTCTGACTGTCCTGTATCCTGACTGTCCTGCGGACTGCCCTGTATCATCATGACTGTCCTGTATCCTGCTGGCCGCTCTGTACCCTGCTGACCGTCCCACTGTCTGTCCCGTACAGTGTACTGTGTGCCCTGCGGACTGTCGTGTACCCCACTGACTGACCCGTACAGTGTACGGTGTGCCCCGCTGACTGCCCTGTACCCCACCGACTGCCCCGTACAGTGTACGGTGTGCCCTGCTGACTGTCGTGTATCTACCCTCTGACTGTCCTGTACCCCACCGACTGCCCCGTACAGTGTACGTTGTGCCCTGCTGACTGTCGTGTATCTACCCTCTGACTGTCCTGTACCCCACCGACTGTCCCGTACAGTGTACGGTGTGCCCCGCTGACCACCCCGTCCTCCGCAGCGCCGGTACCTGACGATGACGAAGTGGACCTGGTCCCCCGACGGCGGGTCATCACCAGCAGTCGGGCCGGGCCCGGCTACGCCGGAGCCGGAGCCGCCGCCGGCGGCTTCGTCGACGCCAGCGACATTCTGCGCCAGATCTTCGGCTCAGGTGAGACATTCTATCTATGGTTCCCCCTCTGTGGCTCCTCCTCGATATCTGTGGCTCCCCCTGCCTGGCGACCTGTTGTGTTTCCCGTGTCACTTTTCTGAAATCATGCCTGCTGCATCCGGCTTAATATGGGTCACGTTTTGCATAACAGTTTTACAGTGTTTAAGTTGAGTAGTTGCTGTTATCCCTGGGGTACAGGGGACTAGCAATGGCCGTCTATTGTTGTCACCGTGAGCCGTCCATCCGATCAGATGGTCGACGGGCTTCATGTCGTGACCCTTGACCTGACCTGACCTCTCGCCTTCGGCAGGCTTCCCTCGCCTGCTGCCCAGGATTGACCCGAACTGTGACACGGGCCGGTTCCAGCTGAGTGACACTGTCTATGACATGGTGGAGCAGTGCCAGCGTTCGCGCTCCGCCGAGCAGGACCTCAAACAGGTGAATCAAGGGCCCTAATTAACTAGATGGGATAGTGGTGGTAGGCTCGATAGGTGGATTACCGAAACATTTTAAATTGAAAGGCTTTGAACATCATCGGCACATATTTACTTGATACTTGCCGGACCCGCGTTGTAGATTAAGTGCCGTTTTGATGGTGCGTCAATTTCGTGTAATTCGTTTATTCGTTTATGGTTTAACTGTGCCACTCACTGGTCATTATCCTGGTAACATAAAACAGCTTAGCGAAGCTCGACTACCCCTACGAAGTTACGACTTCATTTCTTCAGCGGGTCTTTTTTATTCAGAAAAGGTCTCACCCAAACCCAAGGGGTTGACAAAGATCTGTGATCGAATATACCCGAATTTTGCTAATTTTTCATTTTTATTCAGATTATATTGAGGATTCGGTCGATCAAATATGCTCATAATCATCATGATGATATTCCTCACAACGCTTAACTCTCTTAAATGTACACCCCGTTCTATTTAGAACGTTAATTCCTCGTCGTTGAGCATTCCAGCCCTGGAAATGGTGCCTGCGATACGTTTCAGAGCGAATGTGACAGTTTCTAGCGACATCTGACTCAGGTTTTCTGCTGTTCTCCAGTGTATCCTGGATGCTCTTCCGGATGATGCCGGTGAGCTGGAGGAGTTCCTGGACCGAGACGAGGTGAGAATCGATGGGAAAGACGGAGAGATACAGAGAGAGGATATGGAGAGAAAGAGAGAGAGAGAGAGAGAGAGAGAGAGAGAGAGAGAGAGAGAGAGAGAGAGAGAGAGAGAGAGAGAGAGAGAGAGAGAGAGAGAGAGAGAGAAAGAGTGAGTGAGTGAGTGAGTGAGTGAGTGAGATAGAGAGAGAGAGAGAGAGAGAGAGAGAGAGAGAGAGAGAGAGAGAGAGAGAGAGAGAGAGAGAGAGGGGCCGGATGGGTGACTGGGTGAAGTCGCGGGGAGATCGCCATCATGTTTGTCCCATATAACGCAATGCGTCGCACGTACGACAGCTCGACTTTGCACAGCCGGGGATACTCCCTACAGAGGGGACGGCACCGACAGTGCACATGTTTTGTGTATACCAACACAGTTACTCGCGTCACAGCTGTACTCTGCCCTCCGGGTGGTGGCCTCTCAGCCGTGACGGTAGTGACGTCAGAACATTTGTGACGTCACAGGGTGTCACGGGGCGGTGCTCACGGTAATGGTGCGCTAACCGGCGTCGCCAGCTGCCGCTCTAGGGTAAATAGACGCCAATCTGCAGGATTACAATCAGGTACCGATGTTACCTGTTGTTCGGACATGCCGTGTCAATGGAGGATTGCATGTCGACGTAAATTGGACGTGAACGTGACCAAATTTGAGTGACTCATGATATATGAATCGCCCAATGAAGTTAACGACAACGAAGCGAATATTTATTAGGTACGAGTTAGGTACCTACTATGAGATATCTTTGGAGTGGTCATCGATCAATCGTCGGAGCGAAGCATCACAAATTGCATACCTACTTACATATAAAAACGTGTATTTTTTCATACCTAAAAGGAACAAATTGCTCGGTCCCGAACGAACTGGCTTTATCAGGATTGTCCTGATGAGTCATTTCCCCTCTTTTGTAGAATGTAACCCAATCAAATTAAATATCCACCTTGTCCAGACCGGTGTTAAAGGGACCCTCCCACCTTAACATTAGATTTGAGTTGAGATAGCCAAAATGGGGCCCCTGGCTCACAATTACCGGTTTCGGCACTCACAACATCGAGAAATGCCTTAAATCGGAAATATTGAATTTCACAATTGCAGCATTTTGATTCAGAGGGGCTAATACATAGGAATACCCCTCTGAATGTGTGACGTCAGCGCAGATATCTAACGATTTTTTTAATGTTTGACTAAAACGTTTTGTAGCACGCGGTGGTATATGCTGCTTTGCGCGCAACAAGTGCCGCACTTTGAGCTGCCAAACTATTGCTTCCAAATAAAGTCGCTAGGAACAGCGGAGATCCCAAAAAGTAAGCAAAAGTAAAAGTCTAATATCTTGAAAACGGGTGAATATTTTTCGGTGAAATTTGGTAGATATTTGTTTTCGCTCTTTCTGAACCGAGCGACATCACTTTCATGCCAATTCATAAACTTTTTTGAAGGTGGGAGGGTCCCTTTAAATAGAAAGCTCTGCTGGCTGTGATGCCACTGCTGATTGTCATACGGACACGACACGACCCCTCGTGACCTCTGTTACCGCCACGCCCTCCCCGCCCGAAACCAGTCGTGAAAACAATGCCGCCCGGCGCATATCCGGTGTGTCACCCCGGCCGGTCACGACCCGGAATATGTACCAGTCGCCCTGTTGGCTGTGTTTGGCTCGTCAATTTATTCCGGTTTTTAGCCCTTCCGAGTCGCTTAGACCTGCAATAAATGCCTGATGTTGCCGATGAAAATGTGTGAACAATTATTTTAGAAACGTTTTTGATTTTCCATCATCAATAGAATCTGACATTGCACGTCTCTCCTTATTACTGATGTCCAGACGATGAAGACACGGGTTAGAGAATTACGGTGGAAAGTAGGTAGGTACCTAATAACCGAAAAAAGGTACGGGATGTAAGATAGTCAGCGAGGTATTTATAGGCGGAAAATGCCGTATAATTTCTTGATTTGCACGTCACCTTTTTATTTGGTTGTTGTGCCCTAACCAAAGCACGGTGTTTGTTCTCTTTGGCCAGTTTTGGGTACACAGTTTGGTGATGAATAAAGGAAAATAGTGCAACAAAGTGGGTATACGTGGTATGACCAACATTCTGTTTTGAGTCACGCCACTTAAAATAGCATATCGCGGCTCGGCATGCACGCCACATGGACGCCTCCTGAATAGAGGTGACGATGCCTGGTTTGACCCGTGGGACCTGTGGAGAATGGAGTGTGGACAATGCCCCCCCCCCCACTGCACCACCACCGGGGCAGGGAGGGAGCGAACTGGAAACCCTGTCGGCCAGTCGTTTTAACTGGGCTTTTTTGTGTTTCAGTTCACCATTGCCGGTATCAGCTCATCTTTCTCAATCGCCATTATCGACAGTCAGGTGAGTCGGATTAGGAGCTGGCTGTTCTTACAGGCTTTCGCGCCTGATAACTTTGACGGGATGACTGGGGGCTGAGGACGAGTTATCTTATATGACTTAAAACTGAAAACAGGGCATGGGTGACAAATGATCATATAAAGTGAGGAAGTACCAAGTTAATTAGGACGGGTAACCGTTTACGAGTAAGGAACCCTTCCACCTTCAAAAAGGTTAATGATTAGCCATAAAAGTGGTGTGCCAAAAGAGCAAAAATGAATATCTACCAAATTTTACCAAAAATATTCACAATTTTTGGAATATTATACTTTCACTTTTGTTTACTTTTGGAGCCTACACTGTTCCTATGTAGTCATTTGGACGCAATACTTGGTGTCTTAAAAGTGCGGCAGATGTTGGGCGCAAAACAGCATATACCACCACAGTTATACAAAGGATTTAGTAATTAGTGTAAGATTTTAAAATCGCTAGATCTGCGCTAACACAACAAATTCAGAGGCGGGCATTCAAATGCATTAGCCCCTCTGAATCCAAGCGCTCCAACTTTGAAGCTAAATATTTTCGATTTCAGGTATTTCTCAACGTTCCGAGTGTCAAAACCGGTGATCATAAGCCAGGGACCCCAGTTTGGCTATCTCAACTCAAATCTGCCATTAAGTTATCGCTCTGCGCAGCCCCGTGCTGTCCCCTGGCTCGCCTGACGGTGTGTTTGTGTTGGATAGATTGCCTCTATATCCTCCCTGCACGCGCTTCGGACGTGCTCCACCGCTGTCGCTCACAGCCACACGCCATGTTTTGCTCCCGGTCGGCTGTGTGTCGCGACTAGTGTCAATAGTCGACACGCGATGTTTTTTCGGACTCGTTCTGTCATTTCTGTTTACTAATTAAATGCCGCTATCGTGAGCTTCTGTCGGTCCCGAGCCGCACTGTCACTGCGCTAGGACAGAAGCAGGTCACAGTGGTTACAGTGGTCTGCAGGTCAGAGGTCACAGCGGTGCTGACTGACGCTTGCCCGTCTGACGCCGGCAGATGACACAGAAGCGGGTAGTGACCTTCCGTCTCTGCCCTCCGAGCGACGAGACAAACACTGTCGAGGAGGAGCCGGTGCCAGAGCAGCAGCGGCCGGCCCTGGGGCCGTTCTACCGGCCCTACCGACCGGCACTGCCCTCCTTCAGCGACTCCATGTTCGGTGAGTAGAGACAATCCTCGGTAGGTGCAGTCCTCGGTGACCATTTGTGCTCAGTCGCAGTCCACGGTGGCTGATTCCTCACAGTCAGTCCTCGGCTATCCGGAGTGGAACTGACCCATAACCGCTCTGTGGCTGTCTCTCAAATGTCAGAACGTATATTGTAGAATAGTACGTGACAAAAAAAACTCGCTGTGTAGAAATATAATCAACGGAGCAATGAAAGACCTAACGGACGGGGGTTGAATTTTGATTGACATCAGCAACCTGTGCCCAAACGGTACACGTACGTCTTTACAATGCAGCTGCAAATTCTCTTTATTTTCCGCAGGGATATCGGTCGCGTATTGTCATTGTTCGTATCAGGACACGCGACGTGAGCTGTCAGGCTGATTATGCGGGCTGCGACCTTTGTGACCCTCGTTGTTTTGTCAGATAGCTGCATTTTCGAGGTCGGTCAAATGAATCAAATTACACTGACGTAGCCTTCACATGTGTCCCACGTAGTAGTCATACCTGCGCCACGTGCACGTCGCACGTGCCAAGGTTCTATGACGTGCAGAGTCGACAGTCAAGGGCGTGTCCTGAGGGCGGTCGACTGTCCGCGAACTATTCGTAAATTGACGCGGAAACATAACCAGCATTCAGTGCATGTGTTGGGCGTGGCCCAACTGTCATATATTGTCGCGGTTGGAGTCGGTGTTTTTCGTGTACAATACGCCCGAGATCAGGTGTTTTCGTAGAACGTGCGGCGTGGACAGGATGTTTTGTCACACCATCCGTGCGTCGAGAGCGGGTTGACATTGGTGGCCTTCGAATCCTATAAAGTTACTCACGAGCGTTTTGGTGGATCCTAGAATATCGCACGGAAGGTATCAATTCGATCGATGCAAAGGAAAAGTGAATCGATATCATGTTTAAGATCGCTAAGGTCGTTTCGTCAGGTAACCAATCGACCAACCGTCTGATGTTTCCGTGAAGTCACCGCATTTTTATCACAGACGGGCCTCTGATGAATCGCAGCCGACACCTTGTTTGCCTGCTGGTCCTATTTCCGCTGTGTATTCTCCGTATCGGTCCGTATAGGTCGCCTCCGACGCGGACGGTTACCGAGCGGCAGGAAGTTGCCGTTCGCCTCAGGCCGGATGTTAGCCGATATCGGTCCAACACGGACGCGACAATGGAACTGAGGACGGGGGGGGGGGCTTCGTGCTGAATCGGGCCTCAATCGACGGGTGCTTCAACAGTGACGCTATTCCTCCGAGTCGGTATCAACCATCAGCTGTGTCGACACACCTGAAGGTCACAAAAGGGTCGGCAGTCACGCCTTTGACACGCTCGTCGATGACCTGACCTCGGGGTGGGCCGTCTGACCCCGCGGGTCGTGCCATTGTGTCGTGGGGAGGGGGACTGGGTTCAATGTGCCATGCACGGTGCGGTACGGTGCGGAATAGAGCATATAGGTACTGATACGGAGCCGTACGTTTTAGGATATTCGGATATTGTGTGTAGCACTCGAAAGCAACTCCATCACGTAGGTATATGACGCGACACGGTTAGGATGCCTACTATGCCGCCAGATATGTGTGTAACATAACATATATGCCTTTAGTTAAGGATCTGGCCTGTTTATCTTGAATGGAAGTTGGATGTTGAAGTGCTTACTCACATGCCCCATGTTCGTACCCGGTACCGTCTTACTTATTATCGCTAATTATAAATATTCGCTTGTTCCGACTAATGTCGTACAGAAGCTTCGTTCACGCAACATGTGTTAACACAAGTCCATCCGGGAAACCTTCCTTGAATATGCACGGAACATATCCATCACTTGTCGTCACGATATCCATCCCCAGCCTTGTCCATGCTGTATCACAGACTGCCCACCTGCCGTTCGTTGATTCTGCTCAACCGCAGCGCCGGTGCTGACGGTTCAGTCTACATTGAGTCACGAATTGTCAGTGCCGTTTGACCCTGTGCCGGTTTCCTTATCATTCGTCCGGTCCGTTATGTGCTGTCTGAATGGGCCATCGTTCGGCCAACCGCGGTGACACTATAACACTGACATGACACTTGAGGATTGGGCTATATTTGTCGTACGTTTGTGTATGAGAATATTATTGTGCTTTTTTACTCGGACTGATACCGCGTCCGGCCGTGGCTGTGGTGGTTAATACCGGCTGTCTTGGCTCTAACACCGTTTTTCGCCCTCGTTTGCAGACATGCGGCCCACGTTCCAGATGCCCACGTTCACGCAGCCGAGGCCATTCTTCGACTTCAGCTCGTTCAAGCCGTTCTTCGATCTGAAGCCCAGCGACATGTTCCCATCTTTCCCCAACCTCGGCTTCGATGCCAACTTCCCCACAGCGGGTACGAGCTTTCGGTATAGACATTAGACATTGCGAAAGATTGGATACGTGGTTTCGAAAAAATGCATCAATGAATGGGAAGAAGGCATATCAATTGTTGTGGATGGGTGTTTTTATGTCATGCGAAACAGGATTTAAAGCGACAATGGCAAATGAGGAACGTATCGCAACGCTGAGGGTGTAACTTTCGGGGGGCTGCTCGACTGTTCTCAATTATTCTGACACTATTAGCAGAAGTACCGATTACTACCATTGCTCAGTACTAGTTAACGTCCCTGACATGTTCTCTGACCTCCCGACCTTCCTTGTCTCAGGCTATGACCCGGAGACCTGCGTGAAGCAGACCTTCCAGCTGCCCAAGGAGCAGTTCGACAAGGCCAAGAGCTGCCAGTTTGGCACTGAATCCTTTGAGGAGGTGAGACGTTCAGCGTGGTCAGCCGATGTGTTAAATCGTTTGACACAGCTTGTGGTTCACTGGCGCTGTAGCTACACTGAGCGCTCTGCGCGCCACCTGGAAATGGCCAGTAAATTTAATGACTGTGGCGCTAGCATCTCTGCCAGAGCCGTGGCCGTTATCGAAGGCGCCGACCATCATGCGGTGTGGCTGCCGCCGCAGCTCTGTTTCTCTCGGTGGTCTTTCTGACCCCAAATTGTCTTCTGTTTGTTCTCCATCCGCCTATTGTCTGGCTCACGCCAGTGATATGTCTGTTGGCTTCTTACTGTCTGCTCATGCTGTCTATTTCTCTGTGTACTGTCTGGTTCCCGTTTGCTGACTTTGCTAACCTTCTTGTCACCTTTTGCTTTAGTGTCTGAACGAGCAGCTGGGCGACTCTGAGGAGGCCAAGGAGCTGCTGGAGTTTGTCGGCGCTGACGGCATGATGGTGGTGGACCGACGCTTCTTCTCCTCTGTCTCCAGCGTCAACGGCGTGGTAAGTCACGGAGTCACAGGAAACCAGCACGGGAGACGAAAGAGAGCGAGGAATGCCTGCTGAATACACGGTACACCGGTAAAGGTCGTGTCAGAGCTACAGGGCCACACTCGAGTGACCTTGGTAGGGACTGAATAAGTGAATATCCAAGGTGATATGCGTTCCTCGTTAACAGTAAAATCTCATGTGGCAAAATCTTCAGTTCACTCTTCATTTGGGATACTTTTATCGGTCACACGATAAAAGCATCTCAGCTGTAAGAAGTCCTTTCTGCAGTGGCTCACTCCACACAAAGACACAGCTGATGTGAGCTGTGGCATGCTCTGGCTTGACTGATCAAGTTTGTCATGCTTTCCGCAGGTGACCCGTAAGAACAAGATCCAGATGACCCACTGTAAGGAGGTCGAGGTCGAGGAGGATGAGCCGGCCGCGGGAGAGGCGAGACAGCAGCCCCCGGTGGTGGAGCAGGGCCCGGCGCAGGGCGAGAAGGCTACTCCGGAGGAGACGCCCATCGAGACCACCAACCAGCAGGAGGCCTACCTCGGTCAGTGGTAGTGGTCTAGAAAAGTCCGGTGGTCGAGGTAACAAAGAAGCGTGGTTTGGGCACGTTTCAGCGGTGAATTAATTTTTGAGTTTGATGTCGGTTTCAGCAAGATATGTTTTGTGTAAGCCGGCTCAATCCCTTACCGATCTATGTCAAATAATTTTGTTGATCTGAGCAGTGACGAGCACTCCTGGCAGTCACAGAGTTCTGCGAGAGTGATTGCTGACCGATGTCTCTGTTCCCCAGGTGAGGACTTTGAGCCGTAGTGGTCCTCCCATCGTGCTGAACACCAGCCGAGAGGGGCCATCCGGATCAGCCGAGCTGGACGACCCACATCCATCTGCACACAGTGTGCGTTATTTAGCCACAGGCGCTTCTGTTTGCACTTATGGTTCAATCACAAGCAGCGTTCTGATGTTTACGATTTGTCATATGTCAATTTATCAGTTGCGACTTTAAGAACTGCGTGTGGACCGACCGTGAAGTCGCCAGGTCCTGCTTTAAACAGTGAGGCTGCTCCAGTGATTGGGGAGCTGAACTATATATTGGGTGATGTCTTGGGGCTGTTATTACAGCTTTTGGCTGGCCGTCACCCGAGTTGAGGCGCCTCAGCGGAGGAAGGGTGACGTGCCCACACCGGACAGACTGCAGGGGGCGCTGTGGGTCGGTCCGTCGAGCAGTGACGAACGCTGGTGCCGCCGTCGGCCCCGGGGAGCGGCGGTACGGTCCCCTCGGCCACTGCAGTGTGGTTCACTGCCCACTGCCCAGGTCGGCCGGTGGTGGCTGCAGCGCCGCCCCCGAGCTGTGGACGGGACAGGCCCTCCGGGCGGCGGTCTCACTCGGCCAGTGAAGTAGTGTTGAGGGCACGTAGTGTCGCGCATAGTCGACCCAGCTGGCTGGCAGAAAGGCATGCTGAGCGTTTGCCGATAAGGCTATGTGTTCGACTGGTGTTAGATCGTGTAAAATACACATTTCCTACTATCTGTCCACTCACCTTCTTTTCTCTGGTGTCTGATTAACTCAGCTTCTCAAAAAGGGAAATACGAACCCCTGTATTTGAGAAAGATTGGTCGAAATTTTTCCTTACTAATCGGTTATCACAACACCACGATGCATGGGGACAGTCGTAAGTATTCACTTAATCATGACATATTCTCGTATGTCTAACTTCAACGACGGCTACTCAAAGTCTCTCATTTGGCGCCAAATATGCTAAGCTACAACTCGTTCTAGTTCTCACGTACGGGAACAACGAATGTAATATGTATTACCCTAGCTAGATAAAAACTCCAGCTTAAAAAGATCATCTTAGACTCAAAGCAAGCAAATTCAGCTCTTGACCAAATAACTACAAACATCGCTGGTATTTCACTGGGACTAATGACTAATGAGAAATATCCCTAGAACCGCGATTATCACTCGTGATGGCTGTCCTGCTCTTGTCCGGGCAAAACACAATATCTTTGAGGAATTGGAGAGACCACACCCCTTGCCCTTTCAGTATGTACATACGAATAAACTGTTGCTGCCTGTCGAGGACCGCATCCCTGGCAGCAGCCGGGACTGGTCTGTCATGTCTGGATTCTCTCGGACCACGCCGTTCACCTTGACCTGGAGCATGGGCCACCACGGAGACCGACTACTGGATGAGGCAGAGCTGTGGGCCAAGGTCCCGCACCACCAGCCGAGCGGGCCAGTCTGCCCGGCGGGCTGCACCGTTTGGGATACCACCGTCTGTAGACCGGGCAGCACGTGACACGAGACACATGACACAACATGGGTCCATAGGACAACTGAGACGTGTAGGAGACATGATGTGAAGGCAGACTTTGAGACGGATATTTCGGCGACCGTTCGACAGATCTGGTGCAGCGAGCCGAGTTTATAATTGGGATAATGGGTGTAGTGTGGTTGGACGATACAAAGACTGAAGGTGCACAGAGGAGGCGGTGATACTCGGAAGGATGGGAGCGCTATGGAGTACACGTTGACAGGCCGGAATCGTATAAAGTACATAGTGGGGCATCGGGGAACAAGCACTAGATCTGACGAGTCGGCGACAAACTTTTAACAGAAGCAGATACACTGGGTTTGTTACTTCCTACCCCCTATAGGCTTATCGTCTTTCTTCAAAACACTTAAGGTGAGCAATAACCGTCTAGGAATCGATGTTCTGCCTTATATTAATAATCAATAAAAATACCAACGCGTAAACTAACTAGGTACTTCTATTAGTGGACTGTATTGAAAATGTACACGAATAAGCGACCAACATTCAATTACAAAACATGATCAGTTACCAGTTCCCACTTGTGCCGCTAAGCATGGCTACTCCAACAATAAATCCCAAGGGTCCGTATCGATGTAGGCATACGCCCGCTAAACATCTCGAAAATTGACAGCGCCATCAACGTCTACCCTGTCTGAGTTCCGCTTTTGATTTGACAACAATAAAAACAGCGTGAGAACAATTATGCTTATAGCAATTACCTAACACACGTTTAACGTAGGTACTGACAGTTAGCATATATTCAATGCTCTGCCAGGGTACTCAGATACTCAGATACCTATTAGAAGCTCTCCTCCGTCGTCCGACCGTCACCTACACATGACAGCTCTGCCAGGGTACTCAGATACTCAGATACCTATCAGAAGCTCTCCTCCGTCGTCCGACCGTCACCTACACATGACAGCTCTGCCAGGGTACTCAGATACTCAGATACCTATCAGAAGCTCTCCTCCGCCGTCCGCCTGTCACCTACACATGGCAGCTCTGCCAGGGTACTCAGATGCTCAGATACCTATCAGAAGCTCTCCTCCGCCGTCCGCCTGTCACCTACACATGACAGTCATGACAGCTCTGCCAGTGTACTCAGATACTCAGATACAGGTATCAGAAGCTCTCCTCCGTCGTCCTACCGTCACCTACACATGACAGTCGGTGACACCCAGCTCGGTGCAGCTAATGACGTCCCGCGGCTTGGGCGGCCCGTAGCCCTTGACGACGCTCCTCCGGTGCTGCGGGTTATCCAGCGTGTACACGTTCCGCGTGCTCAGCACGGTGTGTCGCTGCTTGGGCGGCAGGTCGGCCAGCGGTCTGTACCTCCCCGCGGCGTCTCGGACCACTGGTACCGGCTGTGGCGGGCGGTGGTCCCCGGGCTTCACGGAGACCAACTGAGGACCGAGAGGACCGTGAGGACCACCAGCTCCCCGGACCACAGGCACCACCGCCGGCCGGCGCAGCGACGAGCCGCCCTTCACCGGTACGATCAGCACCACTCGCTTTCCGGCGCGGCGCGGTCCTGCGCCGTGACCGGCCGGGAGTCTCACCACGTACGGTTGGCCGTGCGCACCGCCCGGGGGCAGACGGGCCACGAACGAGCCCGGCGGAGGCCGTGGGGGCCCGCCGCCGGTCAGGGTGGAGCGGATCAGCGAGTTAATGCCGGGCGGGAAATAATCCGAGTCGGCTCGGCGAGGTGGGCGTGCTTTGGGAGACGGGGTTCTTCTGGATGGGCCGACTGCGCCGGGTGGGATCAGAGAGGGTGGGCTGGTAGGCGGACTACTTTTCCAAGGATTTAACAGATCCAGCAGACCCCTCTTTTCAAACTTCGACTGGCTCTTGCCCGCAATGTTGTTCCGACTTGAGTTGTGAGCTCCATCTGTCGAGGCTGGCGTTGATGTCTTTCCGTCCAACTCGCCAGCCGCCGTCCGATCCTCTATAGGAGACGACCCGTCTGACCTGACCTTGGTGTGGTGGCGGACCTGGCTCCGGCTGTGTGGCGGTGCTGACGGCTCCCAGACAGTGTCGAGCTTCTGGTGATCATCTGCCCGGCTCGCAGACACCACCAGAAGCAGACAAAGAGACAGGAGCTGACGGACGGAAACAAACAGTCGTTAGCCGGGATTATACATACGGAGAAGCGTAGCACCATGACATGGCGCGACAACGGTGACATGATACAGACGCGTGACGAATTGTGTAACTCCCGACTTTTCACGGTTAATTCGTAAGGTAATATTATATTCGTATAATATTAATCAAATGTGACATAACATTTGTGCGTAATTCATAATGTAACACGGTGATAGAAACGTAATTCAAGTGGCAAAAATATGCATGGGGTTAGGTCGGATTTTTTTACGTTTCATCCAGATTCCAGTTAACCTTCATTGTACGTTAGTTTACATAAACCTCAAAGCAGGATTTCCGTGGTAGGCCCTTTATCTCACCTGTAAACACCGAGTCATTTTCACAGTCCCGAAACGAAGCTCACTATCGCAACTTCACAACCCCTCCACGGTCACTGCGCGTCTCGAATCGCGTCGATGACACCGCGCGACCCGACTGACCGCTCACAGGTCACAGCCTGACTGCCGATACTCCACGGCGGTCAGCTATGTGACCCAACACACAGTCATCGGTCACCACTGTGACTCGACTGACCCGGCGTAACTTTCTGACCGTACAGTGCCGGCCGGGTCTTCAACAGTTCACTTTCAACGAGCAGAGGCGAGTGCAGCAATCCATGGCGCGCTTCACCCGACCATAGCGGTAACGGTGTTGGGGAGGTTTGGAAGGGTGGAGGGATGGTCCAGTGGGTGAAATGTGGGGCGAGAGTGTTGCACATAGGTGACGATCCACTGGGTGAAACCTACATAAAATGCAGAATTAATCAATTTAGCAACGCATTTTATCGGCTTATCGCCTTCCAAACGCAGCTCCTGGGAGCGTCCTTGCACCGAGGTGTGTAAAAAGTTGAACGAGACCAGTTTTTACGTTTGGCGTAATGGAAGAAAGTCATGAGCTCACCGCACGAGGACGTATCGAAACGGAAATGTGGCAATGGGGCATCCCTTCACCGGGCATTCGGTCTTTTTTCCTTTGGTTATCGATACTCCGTGACTGGGCATTAAGGAATCGGTGAGCGATATGCGTGCGCTTAAGTGCAGACATTACATGCATGCATGATCAGCAACTCGATGTGAACTGCTATTGTGTAAGTATGTTCTTATACAGCCCTATACCGTGTACCGCTTAATCATTTTCATTCATCGCATTGATACACACATGATTAGATTTTTTGTCACTCGCTGTCCACCTGTTTATTTTTATTTATTTATGCAGGCATTGACCTAATTCCTGTATATCAATGAAATCTAAATTATGCCAAGTGCATAAATGATACATGCGCATAACAAATTAAGTTTGTAGTGTTGTATGACAATTGGACTACAGAGCACCTTTTATAATGCGCAATTAATATCTCTTTTGGCATCTGTTGCTTGCTGAATTCGAAAACCGTTTTAATGTGGCAGGGTCTGCAGTAATTGTCACTGTATCTTTATGAGAGTCAGCTCCCACACAGAGCCGGCTCAGAAAAAAATTCACTGAGCCAATTTGCTTACGTTGGTGCTTCCTAGAAAGTACGAAGCTCCTCCTCAGACATTTATGATGACGCCGAATAAGTGTTACGTGATACGATGTGAAATGGGACAGTATATCAATTCCCCTTGGCTTATGAAGCCGTAATTCAAATTTAGATCATCCGGTCATCTTGGTTGCCGTGCTAGGAGATGGATTATTAAGCCCCAACAATTAATTCACCATAGTAAAGCTCACAATACAGCTAATTATGACGCCCAAATTGTTTCACAACACGATGCCCACCGACAAATTCTGCAACATTTTTCCTTTAGTGAAACACCGCACTTCAGCGTGTGGCTGTACGCAGATGCAGACAAGCGGCAACGCATAACACTATGCGTGTATACTTATATAAGGCAGACACTGGCGCATAGTTTAGCACACAGGCAGACACTGTGGCACAGCATACCACATAGGCAGATCGGTAGTCGGTACAGTATATCACACAGGCAGACACTGCGGTACAGTGTGCCACACAGGCAGACATTGCGGTACAGTATAACACACAGGCAGACACTGCGGTACAGTATAACACACAGGCAGACACTACGGTATATACAGCATACCACGTAGGCAGACACTCGGTACAGTAAACCGCACAGACACTGCGGTACAGTATACCACACAGGCAGACACTGCGGTACAGCATAACACACAGGCACTATGAATATTTCTAGGGTTAAGTGTCAGAACATAGCTAGATTTTCGAAATTGTTATTGGGAATAATAGTCTGTCTTGAGACGTTGTCACGCTGATAACTACATTCTAACCGATCACCTTTCGCATTCGGAAACAAGCTCAGCTAGCAATGAATCAGTTATCCAGTAACAAAGTGTTATCGATTTTTTCATAGCTAACAAGCATAGGATAGTAGGTACGGCTCTCGCGGGTTTAAGCGGCAGGTTTTGCCTTTTTGCATTTCCGGCTATACCTATCTCAGAAACTAATCGATCTATACGATGAAGCCATTTTAGAGGATCATGGCAGGCATGTGTACGAATAAATCGATTGCATCTTCAACCCCTAAAAGCCTAAGTCGAAGAAGATATAGCCGGAAATTTACTAAATTTCATAAAGGCAAAACCTACCACCAAAACCCGCGAGACCCATGGTCTCGCGGGCTTTAGCGGTAGGTTTTGCACCTAGAAAATTTAGTGTACTTCAGGCTATATCTTCGTCGTCTTAAGGTTTTAGGCTGGGGGGATCCATGTGATCGCAAGGCACCTCGCAGTTGCGATCAAACGTAAGTTGAATCGGAACAGATATTGGAGGGATCCATCACATCGTAGGCTAAGTAGATACGCAAGTTGTATCGCAAATGGTGAAGATACGAACTAACTTTACGAATCTTCTCGGTCGATCGGAAGGCCGATCGTAGCGAAGCTTTACCTCTTTCTCAAGAGAAAAATATAAGAAATTTTCAAAATTTTCACAAAACCGAAATATATGTTAAACAAATATGGTTGATGAACACGTGTGCAAAATTTGAAGTCGATTTCTTCAAAAATGGCTGCGCTAGAGCGTTTTAAATTTACACGTTGAAAACGGTCACTTTCACGTCATTTTTGTAATCACTTTTTTTCAATTTTGAAATTTAAAAAGTGTTTTGGACAATTTTTCGCGTTAATTGCGAAAATCTGACCAAAACATGTATCGCACCATCAATGATCCGATACGCCATCAGAGGCCGCGCCGCGGACAGGTGGGCGCGGCGATACCTAGGCCGCGTGGGGGTTACACTGGTGTTCGGGAAGGGCTATGTCAACGCGAGGCAGGCCGCGGGGGAGCCGGTTGCGGCGCCGGTCCGTATTTGTCGGGCTCGGCGCCTAACAGTGCAGCGGTGCGTTTATGGCGGAGGGAGGGGAAGCGGTGTAGTGTCGGCAAGGCCGCACACAGGAGAGGGCACACGGGCCTCCCCCCATTCGAGTTGGGGCCCCTAATCTTTAGACCGCCGAAGACCATGTAAAATGAACTGAAATAATGATTGAAAAGACCGGGAGGGCCCATCCCGTTCCCCAGCAGGCCCATACCAGTCCATAAATGCCCAGTAGCGCAGCCAGGGGTATTGTGGTGAAATTTCACTGGCCCTCAAAAGACCTCAAAGGGCCCACAGATGGGGTCACCGGGTCCTCAGATGGTCTCGAAGGGCCCTCGGTTAGCGTCAAATGGCCCTCATCTGGTGTCAAAGGGCCCTCAGATGGCCAAATGAAGGGCCACATTTATTACAGTGGCGCGGGAACTTCTTCCAGACTGGGGGGGCTGAACCATAATAGAAATCAACCTAGGGTACCCCCAAATCTAGTTTTCTCACCGGTTTTAGGCCACTTATTTTTCAGACCTTGGCCTTTTCAACAACAAAAAAAAACACGAAAATATTTTCAAAAACTGAGGTATCCCGTCTCAGCTGAGTGAAGAAACTACCGTTTTGGCAACCTGGAGTAAAGGTTTTAATCTGCCAAATGAGTTGCCAAGCCAGTGAAATAGGTGGATTTTTCACTTACATGCTTTCTTCCTTTGTGACCCACAACCCCTAATTTGGGGAAGACAAGCTGCCCAACGGTTCCTGGCCTCATGAAACGTTGTGGGACACCGCCCCGACGGCCGCAGAGTTCTGGGGGCAAGCTTCCCCCACTGCCCCCTCCCCCGGTTCCCGCGCCTATGTATGAATCTATGAAATTATGTTGATAGATTTCCGATTTCGATTCCTCCAGCTGGGGGGGGGGGGCTCAAATACATTACGAGCCCCCCCAGCCGAAAAGCTGGGGGGGCTCAGCCCCCGCTAGCCCCCCTGTTCCCGCGCCACTGGGCCACAAGATGGCCTCAAAGGGCCCTCAGATGGGTTCAAAGGGCTCTCAGCCAACGTTAAACCTACCTCAGAAGACCTTAAAGGGCGTCAAAAGGCCCTAAACCTGCGTCAGAGGGCCCTGAGCTCGCGTCAAACGACCCTCCGAAGGCCTTAAAGAGTCCTTAGCTTGTGTCAGAGGGCCCCCAGCTGGTGTCAGTGAGCCCTCCTCAGCTGGCGCCAAAAGTCCATCTGAAGGCCTCAAACGGTCGTCAGCTGGAGTACAACGGTCCTCAGATGCCGTCACGCGGCCCTCAAAAGTCTCAAGGAGCCCCTATAAGGTCTCAAAGGGCCCTCATTTGGCCTCAAAAGGCCCTCCGCTAGCGTTAACCGGACTTCAGAAGGCCTTAAAGGGCCCTTATCTGGTGTCAGAGGGCCCCCAGCTAGTGTCAGAGGGCCCTCAGTTGGCGCAAAATGGCCATCAGAAGGCCTCAAACGGTCCGTAACTGGAGTCCAACCGCAACGGTCCTCAGGTGGCGTCAAGCGGCCCTCAAAAAGCCTCAAAGGCCGCTTGGAAGGCAGCAAAGGGCCCTCATATGACCCCAAAGGGTCCTCTGCTGGCGTCAAACGGACCAAAGAAGGTCTCAAAGGGCGTCAAAGGGCCCTGAGCTCGTGTCAAATATAAAAGCGCCCTTAGCTGGTGTCAGGAGGCCCCCAGTTGGTGTCAGCGTGCCCTCAGCTGGTGTCAGAGAGCCCTCAGTTGGCATCTACTGGCCATCAGAAGGCACCAAACGGTCCTCAGATGGCGTCCAACGGTCCTCAGCTGACGTTAAGAGGCCCTCAAAAAGGCCTCAAAGACCCCTCGGCTGCTGAAGAGGCCCTTAGCCTCAAAGGAAACTCAAGAGACGTTAAACGGACCTAACAAGGCTTGAAAGGGCCCTCTGCTGGTGGCAAATGGCTCGCATATGACGTCAATAACAGCTTTGTCAAAAACGGACCTGAGAGACCTTGCCGGTCCCTGGTTATAAGGGACTCCTGTC